AATGGCAAGATCTCATTCCTTTTGATGGCTGCATAATATTCCATTGTGTATATATACCACATCTTCTTTATCCATTCATCTCTCGATGGACATCTTGGCTCTTTCCACAGTTTGGCTATTGTGGACATTGCTGCTATAAACATTGGGGTGCACGTACCCCTTCGGGTCCCTACATTTGCATCTTTGGGGTAAATACCCAGTAGTGCAATTGCTGGATTGAATGGTAGCTCTAATTTCAACTGTTTGAGGAACCTCCATACTGTTTTCCAGAGGGGTTGCACCAGCTTGCATTCCCACCAACAATGTAGGAGGGTTCCCCTTTCTCTGCATCCTTGCCAACATCTGTCGTTTCCTGACTCGTTAATTTTAGCCATTCTGACTGGTGTCAGATGGTATCTCATCAAGGTTTTGATTTGTATTTCCCTGATGCTGAGTGATGTTGAGCACTTTTTCATGTGTCTGTTGGCCATTTGGACAAAAGCATTTTTAATGACTGTTATAATAGGCTCATAAAAGTAGTTTTTCTGTAGTGTTCAGTGGTATCTAAAATGCTCACCATCAACTGGCAGGTTTTGTGTTATGTCTTTAAGCTCCTTTTCAGTGAGGTCCATGCCCATGTTTCCCAAAACTGCATCCACTTTATTGGAGTCAATCTTCCCTCCTATGGAAAGAGAGAGAGATATACAAGCAGAAGTTAATGTCCCTAAAATGTGGGATAAACCCTCACCTTCCTGAGGATTATAGTTATTATGTTCATCCAAAGGACCAAAGCCTGACGAGATCTTTACAAGAGGACAGAGTCAATAATAAGAGTTAGAATTAGAGCATATTGTTTTAATTTTAATCTTCATATAAGCATACCTAGTATAAAAACTGAAAGGTGATGTAATGACTGCTCAGAGAATTCCAGTAGGGTGATAATAATTCCTGTGTTTCGAATGACTACTGTCTCACTTTCACTGTGTTTATTTTTACAGTTAACTTCTAGTTATGTTAAGGGATGCTGGTTCTCCATTGCCATTTAAATTCAAGTTAAAAGTAAATCAATTTAAATGAAAATATTAATAATAGTACAAATACTGTGTGGATTTGGCAGATATCATGAAGCTGGTATTGGTAACCTTGCTTAGACATGACCTTCCTCCTGGCCTGCTTCCTGTCTATTCAGTCCTATGTTCCTTCAATATCTTGAAGGCTTTCTAGAGCTCTCTCCTCTCTCTCTCTTTTGGTCTAAATGTCAGATTAGTAGTCTCTTGCTGCTGAATAAACTAACTGAAGAGGTGTTATTTTTCCCTTTACTCTTGCTGTGCAGCCTGGGCTCTGATAATTTCTTCTTCTATCAAATTTGAGAAATCCCAAGAGAGCATGGGAGTTCTTTCCAAGGTATATAAGAAATGATCTAAAGAACACAATGATCTATAAAAGAAACAAAAGTATGTAATAATGTGTTAGGTGTCAGGGTTGACAATTTAATCACAAGGAATCAGTAGAAATGCCAAACATGATGATCTCAGATTGATTGTGTTTTATTAAGCTTCTCCCTCACCTTTAAGAAACTTTATACCATCCAGCAACCTTCTCTGGTAGACCTTTCCATCTGTAAGGAAAACACTGTTCAGATCACAGAAACTTACAATGCGGAGCTTCATAGACAGTAAGAATCCAGCAATTTCAGTAAGATATATTTTATGAACTGCCTTATAAATTTTTTGATTTAGTGGCAAATAATGAAATTACAGGGCAGGGGGATACTGACACTCTACCATTCTGAAACATATCTTTTTCTTTTCTTTTGTGATATTTTCATTTTCCCCTATTAGATCACTCTTTCTTTTTTCTCATTTATTCTGGCTTAAATTTCAGATCTCTTGATATAATCAAAAATTATAAAAGATATAATTATATAAAAGATATAAGTGAACCCTGATGATAAGAGTCATGATGACACAATGGTTGATTCTTAAACTAAAGATTAAATGGCAGATATAACATTTTAAGATACAATAGAGTCATTTTAAAGTATGCAACATGGATCATAAGCTTATTTCTTTTTTCTTTTTTTGAAAGATTTTATTTATTTTTTTGACAGAGAAAGAGAGACAGGAGAAAGGGAACACAAGCAGGGGGAGTGGAAGAGAGAGAAGCAGGCTCCCTGCCGAGCAGGGAGCCTGATGTGGGGCTCGATCCCAGGACCCTGAGATCATGACCTGAGCCAAAGGCAGACGTTCAATGACTAAGCCACCCAGGTTCCCCCATAAGATTATTTCTGACAAGCGGTAAGAGAGAGACAATTTTAGAAGTTTTTGCAATTTAACAATATGCTCCTCTGGACAACTATATTTTTATTTGAAATACTCACTATCAACTGGCAGATTTTTCACCAGTTGTGAGAGTTCTTTATCTGTGAGTTCTATTCCCATGTTTCTTAGAACTGTTCCTATGTCGTTGATATCAACTTCCTCTCCTTCAAAAGGACAGAAATGGTAATGTGTGATTTTAAAGAACCATCTAATTATTCTAAATAATGATGAAATCTATTACTGTTTAAGTATTAACCCCAACTACTCAATGCATAATAAAGTTAAATGAGTCCTGTTTGAGTATGGTTATGGCAGAACAGTGAAGTGTTTATTTCCACAACTTTAGTAATAATAGAGGCAATATAACAGAGTACATAATAATGCATTTCATAATTTTTTGTTGTGGGAGATTACTAGTAGGTAATAAAACTTTAGTCTCTTTTTATTACACTAACATCTTTTTAGTAAACATCTTAATCCGGAAAAAATGAGATCATAGGGCTTACCCAAAATATGGCACTATGTTTTATTATTGAAACATTGACAAACCGAAGTTAAACTTTAGGAAATCAAACTACAATCAGTTTATTAAAAATAGCATAATTTAAAGGGAATAACAGCAAAGAATATAAAATATGTATAAAGAATCAGAATCATCTGTATTTGGTAACTTCTTCCTCACCTGTAACAGCTTCTACCTTATCCATCAGGTTTTTCAGATCAACTTTCTTATAGCCTGTAAGACAAAGTTTAATCAGAGAAAACAATAACATGGACTCAGAAAAAAGATACAAAGGACAAGAAGTCCTTTTTATCTAAAATTTATTGTTCCAGAAGATGACCAAGGAAAATAAATTCATTTACAATGAGGACCAAGTTTCAATAGTAAATAATGAATGAAAGTGATCTTAAAAGATTGTATTAAATAATAAAAATGAAAATTGTAAAAATAAGTTTATCTTACCTAATACTGAAGAAAATTCAGGTTGTAATTATAACTATCCCAATAGTTATTCTTTAGAATATAGAATAATTCTTAGAAGAAGCAATGAAGCAACATTGACTTTTCTCGTGTGTTCAAATGTTTTTCTCTGAGAAAGTGAGGTTATTGTACACTGCAGCATCCTTCTGAACTTTGAAACAAGATGTATAAAAATCACCTTTACAAAAATGATTGACTTTTTCCCAAGGGTTCCTTTACATCTTTTGAAATCCATATTGTTATATGTTGAATGTCCTATCTCATTATTATTCATGTAGAATTTTTTTCTTCAATTATCAAATGTTCTAACTCTGCCAGGTCCACATTTGTTAGTGGCTTTGTATGATTTGGGAATCCTTCAACCTCACTTACTTCTTGAAATGATGCATGTTTCTCAATATTCGTAAGGAGTATTAACTTGTGTTACCATGTGTTGATGCCATGGGCACTGCTGTGTTAAGCCGTGAGGGATGTTAGAGAGGAGCTAATTACTTGAGTGGTCAATTTTAGTGATTCCCTAAACTTAATTGGTGGATAAGAACACAGCCCAAATCCTATCATTTTACCACACCATTTGCAGTCATCTTAAATTAAAAACAAAATAAATTGAGTTTAAAAAGTTAGAATTTAAAATATACTTTGTGTAATAAATTAAAAAATATACAAGCATATGAAGAAAAGGTAAATGTCCCATCTTTTACCTCTCCTCAGCTTCATGACTACTCCTCACCATTACTAACAGTTTGTGTATATCCTTCCAGACTGTTCTTATGTTTGTAAAGGAATACTATATATACTTTTAAAAATTAATAATACTATACATATTATTCTGTTAACGTGTTATAATGACCACAAAAGAAAGCCATCTCAAAATCCATGAACAGAGAAATGAGGAATGGGTGAATGGATTGGTTTATGCCCTGGGTTGATGTCAGTGATACATGGATCAGTGAGAAAAAAACACATTGCAGATCCTATTTTTGTAAAACCAGACAACAATAATCCCTCCCCTTCTCACTAGCACCTGTCCCTACCCTGAGATGTATAAAGAAATAGATTACAGGTTTTAAAGCAACAAAAAATGAACAGTCTTTTTATCCCCTGAGTTCTTCTGAAAACTATTCAAATGGCTTCGGGCAACAAATAACTTAAACCCTTGAAACAGTCACAATTAATCCTGCAAGCTCAACGTCTGTTTAAAATCACAGTGTTTTCCACAGTGCTCACCACTCAGAAGATCCTTTATCAGACTGAGTTCCTGTTCTGTAAGCTTGACCTCCATGGCTTCTAAAACAGGATCCAGGTTATTTACATCAACCTTCCCTCCTTAAAAACATGAAAGGAAAAGGAAAAAATGGAAAGATTATAAAATATTTAGAAAAATTCATAAAAACATATTATTATCTTCAACTAACAGGCATTACTGTTTTTCTCCAGCTTTATTGAGATATAATTGACATATAACATTGTATAAGTTTAAGGTGTACAATGTAATGATTTGATATATGTATACTGCAAAATGATCACCACAATAAGGTTAGTTAACACATCCCTCATCAGTATTGTCAACTATAGTCACCATGTTGTACATTATATCTCCCCAGAACTTACTCCTCTTATAGCTGGAAGTTTGTATCCTTTGATCACATTCACCGTTCCCTTCCCCATCCTCCTGCCTCTGGCAACTACCAATCAGTTCTGTTTCTATGAGTTTGGTTTTTTTTAGATTCCACATATATGTGGTATCATATAGTATCGAATCATATTGTTTTTTTCTGTCTGACTTACTTCACTTAGCATAATGTCCTCAAGATTCATCCATGTTGTTGTAAATGGCAGGATTTCCTTCTTTTTTACAGCTGAATAATATACTATTATATATGTATGTATGTGTGTGTGTGTGTGTGTATGTGTGTGTGTATATATCCCCTATTTTTTTTATTCATTCATCTGTCCATAGACACATTGTTTCTGTGTCTTGGGTACTGTAAATAATGCTGCAATGAACATGGGGGTGCAAGTATCTCTTTAAGACAGTTGTTACTGTTACATGAATATACACTGCTAAAAGAGAATGACTTCATAATCTAGTATAACTGCTAAAATTTTCAAGCAAAGAACAAAACTACAATAGATTTGCACAATTCTTTACAAACAGAGTTAAAATTTAAAGAGTTAAAAGTTAGAATTAGAACATGCTTCCTCAAATGTTAAACATACAGGCCCAGAAAAAAGTTAGGTGGGACAAGGCTATGCAATTGTAGCTGAAGAGCACTAATCAATAATCTCCACAAAGAAATAGAGATTGTATTTGTTTCCTAAACTCTTACTCTCAGTTTTCTCTGCTCCTGCTCACATTTTGGAATAAATGCTAAACCTTCCTCCCTCCTTCCCACCTTCCTCCTTCCTCCCCCCTTCTTTCCTTGCTTCCTTTCTTCCCTCTTTCTTTCTTTCCTTCCATCTTTATTTCTGTTCATGTTTCTTCAGAGAAAGCTTCAAAAACCCAATCCAGTAGAGAATTTCATCTAAGATAAAGTAAGGGTTATTACCAGGAAAAACACAGATGTGATACAAGCAGCGAAATAATGTGTTATAATCTATTGATATAAATTTAATGCTAACTACGGAGAGATCCCAAATGTCCTTCAACTGATGAATGGATAAAGATGTGGTACACACACACACACACACACACACACACACACACACACACACACACACACTGGAATATTACTCAGCATCAAAAAGAATGAAATCTTGCCATTTGCAACGATGTGGATGGAACTAGAGTGTATTATGTTAAATGAAATAAGTCAGTCATAGAAAGACAAATACCACATGATTTTACTCATATATGAAATTAAGAAACAAAACAAATGAGCATAGGGGAAGGGAAGGAAAAATAAAAAAAGATAAAAACAGAGGAGGAGACAAACCATGAGAGACTCTTAACTATAGAGAACAAACTGAGAGCTGCTGGGAGGTGGGTGAGGGAATGGGCTTGACGGGTGATGGGTATTAAGGAGGGCACTTGTTGGGATGAGCACTGGGTGTTATATGTAAGTGATGAATCGCTAAATTCTATTCCTGAAACCAATACTATACTATATGTTAACTAACTTGAATTTAAATAAAATTAAAAAAATTTAATGCTTAAGGATATTTCATATGCTTCCTCTTTGTACTTTTTACTCACTTTTATTATATCTCACATCCTTCAGCAACCTGTTTTGAAACACCTTTTCATGAGCTGTAAGAAAAGGTACAGTTCAGATCTCTAGAAAATTGATATGAAGAGTCACCAAAACATAAATTCTATGATTATAGAAAGATACATTTCAATGATTTGCTTTAAAAATTAATCTATTTTATAGTTATAGAATATGGACATTTAAAAATATAAGTGTTTTAAGTCAGGAAACGACAGATGTTGGCGGGGATGTGGAGAAAGGGGAACCCTCCTACACTGTTGGTGGGAATGCAAGTTGGTGCAACCACCCTGGAAAACAGTATGGAGGTTCCTCAAAAAGTTGAAAATAGAGCTACCATACGATCCAGCAATTGCACTACTGGGTATTTACCCCAAAGATGCAAATGTAGGGATCCGAAGGGGTACGTGCACCCTGATGTTTATAGCAGCAATGTCCACAATAGCCAAACTGTGGAAAGAGCCAAGATGTCCAACGACAGATGAATGGATAAAGAAGATGTGGTATATATACACAATGGAATATTATGCAGCCATCAAAAGGAATGAGATCTTGCCATTTGCAACGACGTGGATGGAGCTGGAGGGTATTATGCTGAGCAAAATAAGTCAATCAGAGAAAGACATGTATCATGTGACCTCACTGATATGAGGAATTCTTAATCTCAGGAAACAAACTGAGGGTTGCTGGAGTGGGGGGGGTGGGTGGGATGGGGTGGCTGGGTGATAGACACTGGGGAGGGTATGTGCTATGGTGAGCACTGTGAATTGTGCAAGACTGTTGAATACCTCTGAAACAAATAATGCAATATATGTTAAGAAAAAAAAAAGAAGAAGAAGATAGCAGGAGGGGAAGAATGAAGGTGGGGAATCGGAGGGGGAGATGAACCATGAGAGATGATGGACTCTGAAAAACACACTGAGGGTTCTAGAGGGGAGAGGGGTGGGAGGATGGGTTAGCCTGGTGATGGGTATTGAAGAGGGCACGTTCTGCATGGAGCACTGGGTGTTATGCACAAACAATGAATCACTACATCAAAAACTAATGATGTAATATATGGTGATTAACATAAAAATAAAAAATTTAAAAAAATATAAGTGTTTTGCACAGTGACAAACTTACCCATTCTTTGGAATAGGAAACATTTATTAAACTCTGTCATGGTGCAATTCTAAAAAATACATTAAAATATTTCTTTTTTTTTATTCCACTGATGTCCTATTTCTCCTTCATTACTTTTCATTGCTCTTATTGCAAAACTATTGCTGCTCTGAGGGGGTAGTATTAGTCACTTGGACAACTATATGGCAGTGTGGTGATGAATCTCCAGTTGTGTTCGAAGAGGAAATGACAGAATTTCTTTTCAAGTCAGAAGTCCCTTTCTATTAATTTATGGCATTTTAAAGACAAAACTGTACTATTAAAAGATTGAGAATGGCTCACATTGACCCATAAAATCAAGTTCCCTGGAAGGCATGTTGGCATTTATGTGGCATTTACTTACCATCAATGGGCAGTGTTTTCAGCAGATGCTTGTGCTCCATATCTGTAAGCTCAATCCCCATGTCTTTCAGAATATTTTGTAGGTCACTGGAATCAATCTTTTCTCCTTTGAAAAGATGGAATAGTAATAGGTTAAAATATGAAGGGATAATCTAATTATTTAAGATCATCTAAATATATACTTTTGCTGCTCTAGTTTTTTCTCTAATACCAGGATGAAAAGGAAAGGCAGAGTGAAAGATTTCCTGATAAAAAGAGTCAAATGGTAAATAAAAAATAGAATTTGTCCCTTAATCGTAGTAAACAGGAAGGGACACCTGGGTGGCTCAGTCAGTTAAGCATCTGTCTTCAGCTCAGGTCATGATCCCAGGGTCTTGGGATTGAGCCCCACATCGGGGCTCTGTGCTCAGCAGGGAGTCTGATTCTCTCTCTCCTTCTGCCCCTCCCCCCATTTGTGCACTTTCGCTCTCTCTCAAATAAATAAAATCTTTAAAAAAATAGTAAATAAGATGTATTCCTAATACTGAGAATAATATCACATTGTGCAGAAACAAATCTGGTCATATAATTATCCAGAAATAAAGTCAAGATATGGTTAATACAATACACAATTAACAAACTATGACATATTTTACTTTATTTTCTTAAAACTATGTGATTAGCTGTTGGCAATGGACTTAACTATTTTTAATGCTCCACCCTGCTTTTACTGTGTCCATCTAGTTTTTGGGTCTATAAGTACCAGCCAGATACTTTCATTGAAAAAAAGCATCAAAGATTATAAGACTTATTATGAAGAAATTATCTTTTTGTTTTACTTATAAACCCAGATAATGTTAGATTAAGCTGTTGATCAGTAGATGCAAATGTTTATCAAAATGAATACTGAAAATATGTGAATTTATAAGCCACTAATACAAGTTTGAGAACACGCTATTAAAATTTTTAGTGTAAATCGTGATTTATTGCAAATCATTTATATCTTACCTGTAAAAGCTTTCACTTCATCCTTCAAAGTTTTCAGAGCAACTTTATTACCAACTGTAACAAAAAACCATAACTTGACGCTCATAAGATGATGTAAAATTGCAAAAGAACACCCTCCTCCCCTTCAGACAGTAACAGCACCTAAGTGTCCTGGGCATCTTATTAAGCATTTTAAACAGTCATTCAATAAATATTTACTCAGAATATGTTATGAGCCTGGAGCTGAAGAAAAAATTTTAAATATTAAAAATATACTTATTTCATCAATCAGAGAAAGACATGTATCATATGACCTCACTGATATGAGGAATTCTTAATCTCAGGAACAAACTGAGGGTTGCTGGAGTGGTCGGGGGTGGGAGGGATGGGGTGGCTGGGTGATAGACATTGGGGAAGATATGTGCTACGGTGAGCGCTGTGAATTGTGTAAGACTGCTGAATCACAGATCTGTACTTCTGAAACAAATAACGCAACATATTTTAAGAAAAAAGAAAAAGAAGAAGATAGCAGGAGAGGAAGAATGAAGGGGAGTAAGTCAGAGGGGGAGACGAACCAGGAGAGATGATGGACTCTGAAAAACAAACTGAGGTTTCTGGAGGGGAGGAGGGTGGGGGGATGGGTTAGCCTGGTGATGGGCATTGAGGAGGGCACATTCTGCATGGAGCACTGGGTGTTATGAACAAACAATGAATCATGGAACAGTACACCAAAACAAATTATGTAATATATGGTGATTAACAACAATAAAAAATTAAAAAAAAAGGAAAAAAACCTCTTAAAATAAAAAAAATATACTTATTTCAAAAATGTAAATTTGACTTTCTATTTCATAAAATATCCACTCTTGAATTTGATGATGAAAAGATGGTATTCAAAAGTGGCTTTCTTGTTCTCAGAATTGGGGAGACTCTTCTAGTGACCGTGCCACCTGTGTCCAAATACTACATTCCCAACTTCTTTGTCAGTGTTATTGTCTCATCTCCAATCTTGACATCTTCTGCATGAAAAGTTCCCTTGTTCCATTCCTCTCATTGCTAAAGGTACATAAAACCTAAAGCTCAAAATCCAATGATATCTCATATGCTCACCACTGACAGGCAGGTTTTGTTTCAGATCTTCAAGTTCTTTGTCAGTGAGCTTGATTCCCATGTTGCCTAGAACAGTTTCCAGGTTCTTGATGTCAACCTTCCCTTAATCAGAAAGAGAAAGGCCTGTGAGGAAAATCTAGTGACTCTAAAAATGTTATTTTTAAGTTTAAAATTTTCTAGGGAAGAAGGGTCTTTCTACCAAGACATGAGACTAAAATTTTATTACCAAAACATGGACACCACAAAGTCCAACTCTAGACAAATATTTACAATAAGGAGTACAGTAACAGAATCAACATGGCAATTAAGGTTAACAGTAAAATACAGTTCTGTTCCAATAGGAATTCTAGGTTTATAGTGACTTTGTACTCACCTGTAATAGCTTTCACTGCTTCCATCAAGTTAGGCAGATCAACATTCCCATTCGCTACATAAGCCCAAAAGAGACATATAATCAATGACATGAGCTTAGAAAAAGATATAAATTATTTATTTAGTATAATAAAGTCCAGCTGAATTTGACTCACATCCCAATTTTAATTGACACGCCTTTAAACAGAAGATCAACAGATGCCCTAGTGCTCACCATCAACTTGTAGTTGTCCTGACAATTCAGCAAATTCCTCTTCTGTGAGTCTCAATCCCATATTTTCCAAATTAGTATGCAGTTTATTTTTTTTCATCTTCCCATCTTAGGAAAGAGACAGTGAAGCAATATTTGAAAAAAAAAGTTATATGTAGCAAAATTAAAAAAATTTTTAGTAAAACTTAACTTTAATGACCACATATTATTAAAACAAAAGAGACAAAACATAAAATATATTTCATGCCTTTGTTATCGTTAAATTTCACCAAGACTAAAACCCCAAATAGACTTGTCCACTTGAAGACCCAAGGAGAAAGTCAAGAGAGTCAGAATTAGAATTATATTTCCTTTAGTCTATTCTTGTTGACAAGCTTACATAATAAAACAGGGTTAAGGGGCTTAAACAAATAGAACTGCAGACCACTAACTTAATTACTCAGCACAGAAAGTAGGGTAATTTTTGTTTACTGACTCAAAATATTAGTTATCATTGTAGCTGATCATTCTCTTCAATAATGACCAGGGTTTTTTGTTTGTATTCGGTAGAATTGATTTTCCTTTTTGAGAAAGAGTTGAAAAAAATCTAAGAAGATACTGGACTTCCTGCCAAGAGAAAGTGTATATTAACAGCAGATGGAATGTAGTTATGCTGAAAGAATCCTAAGTAAAAACTTATATAGGACCAAGATTCATGCTTGGATGATATATCTGGAGAACTTAGATAATATGCCTTATAATTTTGTTTCTTACTTACCATTGAGAGACTTCATAGCCTTCAGTAATCTATTACGATATAACTTTCCATTAGCTGAAAGAAAAGTCATAATTCATGTAATGGCAAAATGAATATGTGATTCACAAAAATAGCATGAATAGAATAATTTTGGAAACAGAAAATCTAGTCTTTTATCAATATATAAAAATCAACTTTTTTTTTTTTTAAGATTTTATTTATTTATTTATTTGACAGGGAGAGAGAGAGAAACAGCATGAGAGGGGAGAGGGTCAGAGGGAGAAGCAGGCTCCCTGCTGAGGGAGCCTGCTTCTCGATTCCAGGACTCTGGGACCATGACCTGAGCTGAAGGCAGTCACTTAACCAACTGAGCCACCCAGGTGCCCACAACTGTATTTCTATACTGTTGCAATGAGCAAACCCAAAAGGAAATTAAGAAAGCAATTCCATTTGCAAGAGCATCAAAAAGAGTAAAATGCTTAAGAATAAATTTAACAAAAGGAGTACAAAATTTATACTCTAGAAACTATCAAACATTGTAGAAAGAAATTAAAGAAGACCTAAGTAAATGAAAGGACATCCTATGTTTATGGATTGGAAGACTTAATATTGTGAATATGGCAATACTCCCCAAATTGATCCATGGATTCAATGCAATCTTATAAAAAATTCTAGCTGGTTTGTTTGCAGTAATTGATGAGCTGATCCTAATATTCATATGGTAAAGCTGGGGCCCCAAATAGCAAAAATAATCTTGAAAAGGAAACAGAAGTGGGGGACTCACACTTTCTTTTTTAATATTTATTTATTTATTTATTTATTTATTTGAGAGAGAGAGCACGCTCACTTGCAAGTGTGCATGGGTGGACAGGCAGGGGAAGAGGGAGAGAATCTCAGGCAGGCTCCCTGCTGAGCACAGAGCCCCATATTGGGCTCAATCCCACAACCCATGAGATCATGACCTGAAACCAATACTTGGACACTTAACCAAATGAGCCATCTAGGCAACCCATACACTTTTCATTTTAAAAACTACAAAACTACTGTAATCAAGACAGTGGGGGACTGGCATAAAAGTAGATATATAGATCAATGGAATAGAATTCAGAATCCAGAAATAAGCCTTCCAGTTTATGGTCAATTGATTTTTGACAAGGGTACCAGCACCATTTAATGAAGAAAGAATAGTCTCTTCAACAAATGGTGCTGGGACAACTGGATATTCATGTGCAAAGAGAATATTCTTTTGGATCCCTATCTCACACCATATACAAAAATTAACTCAATATGGGGCACGTGGATGGCTCAGTAAGTTAAGCATCTGACTCTTGATTTTGGTTTGGATTGTGATCTCAGGGTCATGAGATCAAGCCTCGCAAAAGGCTCTGTGCTGGGTGTGGAGCTTGCTTGGGATTCTCTCTCTCCTTCCCCCTCTGCCCCTGCTCACACTCTCTCTCTGTAAAAATAAATAAATAAATAAATAAAATTAACTCAAGATGGATCAAAGATCTAACTATAAGGGCTAAAACAATAAAAATGTTAAAACAGCTGTAAATTTTCTTAATCTTAGATTAGACAATAGTTTTTTATATATGACACCCAAAGCACAAGCAACAAAAGAAAAAAATTATAATCTGGACAACAAAATTAAAAACTTTTGTGCATCAGGGAACACTATCAAGAAAGTAAAAAGATAATTCACAGAACAGGAGAAGACTCTTGCAATCATATATCTGAAAAGGAACTTGTATTTAGAAAATATAAGGGACTTGTATCTAGAATATATAAAGGACTTCGATTCAATAATAAAAAGATAACTAAATTTAAAAATGGACAAGGGTTATGAAAAGATTTTCCTCCAAAGGAGATATACATTTAGCCAATATACACATTAAAAGATGCTTAACATCATTAGCCAGCAGGGAAATCAAAACCAGAATAAGATACCATCTCACACTCACTACAATATAATCAAAGGACAGATAATAATAAGTGTTGACTACGATGTGGAGAAAGTGGAACTCTGGTACACTGCGGGTGGAAATGTAAAGTAGGCCGTCACTCTGGAAAACAGCCTGGTTTCCTCAAAAGGTTAAACATAGAGTTACTATATGACCCAACAATTTCACTCTTAAGGTATATACTCCAGACAAAAGAAAATATGTATCCACATAAAAACTTGTACATGCATGTTCAGAGGAGTATTATTCATAATAGCTAAAATGTCGGTTGATCTTTGAAAAACAGGGGTTTGAACTGTGCAGGTCCACTTATATATGGAGTGTTTACAGTGCTATAAATGTATTTTCTCTTCCTTACGATTTAGAGAGAGAAAGAAAGAGAGTGCAAGAAGGGGGAGGGGAAAAGGGCAGAGGCAGAGGGAGAAAATCTCAAGCAGACTCTGTGCTGAGCCTGGAGCCGCATACCAGGCTCCATCCCAGGACGGTGAGATTGTGACTTGAGGTGTTATCAAGAGTTGGAGGCTTAATCAACTGAGCCGCCCAGGCACCCGTCTTCCTTACAATTTTTTCTTTTCTTTTTTAAAGATTTTATTTATTTATTTATCTGACAGAGAGAGAGACAGTGAGAGTAGGAACACAAGCAGGGGGAGTGGGAGAGGGAGAAGCAGGCTCCCCACTGAGCAGGGAGCCCGATGCGGGGCTCGATTCCAGGACCCTGGGATCATGACCTCAGCCAAAGGTAGATGATTAACGACTGAGCCACCCAGGCGCCCCTCCTTATGATTTTCTTAACAACACTTTCTTTTTTCTAGTTTACCTATTGTAAGAGTATATAATACATATAGCATACAAAATATATATTAATGGACTGTTTATGTTATCAGGCTTCTGGTCAACAGTAGGCAATTAGTTAAGTTTTTGGAAAGTCAAAAGTTATACATGGATTTTCATCTGCACAGGGAGTCAGTGCTCCTAACCCCTGTGTTGTTCAAGGGTCAACTGTACTAATACATAATAGGATAGGGATGGACCTTGAAAACACTGTGCTAAGTGAAACTAGTCACAAAGGACCACATATTATATGATTCTATTTATGTGCAACATTCAGAATAGGAAAACTGATGGAGATAGAAAATAGATTAGTGGTTGCTCAGGGCTGAGGGGGAATGGAGAAATTGGGAGGTGATGGTCAATGGGTATGGGGTATCTTTCTGGGATAATAAAAATGTTCTAAAATTGATTGTGGTGATGAATGCACAATTTTGTGAATACATTAGAATTCACCGAGTTGTATACTTTACTGGGTTAATTGTATGGCATATGGATGATATCTCAGTAATTCTGTTAAAAATGTTTTACCCAAAATTTTCATCTTTATATAACAATGAAATTAAGGAAGAGAAGCCTTTTTCAATATGATAAACTTGTCCCCTTGAGTGGGCTTACTGTACTGTATAAATATATCTTCCCTTTCTTTTTAATTCTCACTTTTATCTTTAATTTCTTCCACTGCTCTCTTATCTCTTTCTTTTTCCTTCTTATGGTATAAGCCCTGAAGGGCAACAAGTAGACATTTGTTAGCTCTGATGGCAACTCACATTTGAGGAATCACTTGGCTTCCAAAATAAACTCTAAATGACACTTACAGTTTTTATATGTAGCTTACATGTTAGTTTTTAAAAAATGTTCTAGGGGCACCTGGGTGGCTCAGTCGTTAAGCATCTGCCTTAGAGTCAGGTCATGATCCCAGGGTCCTGGGATGGAGCCCCGCGTCAGGCTCCCTGCTCAGCGGGAAGCCTGCTTCTCCCTTTCTTACTCCCCCTGCTTGTGTTTCCTCTCTCACTGTGTCTCTCTCTGTCAAATAAATAAATAAAATCTTAAAAAAAAGTTCTATCATGTTTTAGAAGAAATTAAAATTTTCATGCAGATCCACAAAAATCCAAGTTCCCTGGAAGCTTCCACAGACACTTGTATGACTCACCATCAACTGGCAGTATTTTCAGCATCTTCTCTAGTTCCTTATCTGCAAGCTCAATTCCGAGATTTCTCAGAACATTTTTTAGATCACTTGACTCAATCTTCTCACCTTTGAAAATAGGAAATTTGGTATACATCTTTATTTCACATAGCAATAATTATTTCTAATGAAAAAATTATTTTAGGACAATTAATATCATCTCCTTGTTTTCAGATTGAAGAATAAAGTAAAAATGAAACATTCTCAACTACAAAATCAATATAGGTGTTAGGTCAAATTTATTTCCTTAATATGAACATGAGAGTTTCTTCTAAAATCAGGAGCAGACTACTTTCAGAATAAAATTTGATCTATTAATTAAAAAAATAGATGCTTACATGAATTTTTCTTTGAAAAAAGTATTTTAATTAAAAAATAAGAATTATATGATAAATACAACGAAGACATTACCTTAATCAATTTTAGGCTCCACTCTCTGATTTGCTGTGTCATTCTATACTGTGGTTATTAATCACTGGTGAAGTGAATTATATTATTGACATAAACAACAGATTGCAGAATTTGAAAGCAAGAAATAGTATGATAATTTCATTGCAAAAACAAATAATTTTATAACAATACATGAAACTCTAGAGACAAATACTTCATTAATAAATATAGAGAAATACCAGAATTTATAAGTCAATGATGGAGTAGTAGAAAATATCAGAAAAAACAAAATTTAATGTAGATAACTGGAATCCTAATTTTATGGTAACTTTTCACTCACCTGTAAAATCTGTGATGTTTTCCATCAGTGTTTCTAGAGGAATTTTCTCATCAACTATAGGAGAAGATCAAAATCACAGTATATTATAGATATCATATGGTATAGATCTCATATATCATATAGAGCGCATATATTATATTATGAGATACAATACCAAAGTTTGTGGAAAAACAGAGGAACAACTATAATAGTTGCACTTCTATGTGTCAGGCCCCATCCTAATTGTTTTATATATTTATTTAACCAATACTGTTGAACACACTTTCTAGATTATTCTCACCAGTTTTTATTTATTTATTTATTTACTTTTTAATTTTTTAAAAGATTTTATTTATTTGACAGAGAGAGACACAGCGAGAGAGGGAGCACAAGCAGGGGGAGCGGGAGAGGGAGAAGCAGGCTTCCCGCCCAGCAGGGAGCCCGATGCAGAGCTCGATCCCAGGACCCTGGGATCATGACCTGAGCCAAAGGCAGCCGCTTAATGACTGAGCGACCCAGGTGCCCCTCCCCAGTTTTTATTTTAAGACAAGCATGAATAAGAAGAAAATTCTAAACACGAAAACCAAACAATTGCAATGATGCAATTTGGCCTATAACATCTCAAATTTATTTGTGTAAGAGGAAGTTACTCAGAAGTGAGTGTGTTGAAAGATCCTGCATTCTTATATTCAAAACTGGAAAGGCTACTAACCATGATACTTGTAGACATAAAAGTCACACATATCCCACATATAAATGATACTTGTAGACAGCATAAAAGTCACACATATCCCACATATAAATGATACTTATAGACAGCATAAAAGTCACACATATCACACATATAAAAAACTGTTTTATTTTTGACTTTGTTAACTAGATACTCATCAACTCAAATGACATTCTTTGTGTTTTAGTCATGGTTATGGTGTATCACCACATGGCTCTTGGGCCTTCCCTTCCCCTTATGGAAAAGGACATTTCTTCCCTCAAAGGTTTTTTTAATTAAACTTTCTCCAGGGTTAACCAGTGTATCTGATAACATGCTTACCACCAACATGCATGTTTTCAGCCAGATCTTTAAGTTCAGTATCTGCAAGCTTGATCCCCAGGTTGTTCAGAATGGTGTCCAGGTTGTCGATATTGACCTTCCCGCCTAAGAAAAATAACAGCCCATCAAGAATATTAAATGACTCCAAAAGAGAAGTTCTTATACTCTTTTGATACACATATCTGATTGTGAATTGTTAAGCATTAGATCATTACTCACAAAATTTGCACACTGTTTCAGACAGGTTGTATACTCACTAAAGCCTATTCGAGGATTCCCTCAAAGTCTAAAATTTACCTAAAGAATATTTGCTCTAAAGTGAAAAAAGTAAATTATTTAATGTTCAACAATGTTAGCACAGAGGCCAAATATTTTAAGTCCTCAACTACAAAGTTAGCATTAAGGCTACTTCCCTTGAGACTTGTCTTAGGGACCAGCCTACACAAACACAAAGTTTTAAAGGGCATTCAATACTGAAATTAGTTTGAGAAAGAGAGCAAGGTACAGAAATAGAGGCTCAGAGTATGTACAAGTCTCCGAAGAAGTGAATGAGAAAGGGAAGAGAGAGATGGAGTTGTGGCCAAAGAGGGGTGCGAAGAGTTTTAGTTTGCTTATTTTATAGGATGGGATATGTTGAGCATGTGCATGGGCTGAAAGGCTTGTCTGTAGAGGAAGAGGTTGAAAATGGCGAATGGGGTGAGGTTTTGTGGATGTGGGAGAGGGTGGAGTCAAGGGTATCTTTGTAAGCCTTGCAGAGGAAGAGGTACTCCTCACTCATCCTTTGATACTAGGATGGGTGTGCTTAAAGATACCTGTAAAGGTAGGGATTGGGGATAGAAAGCTGAGGACTACCACTCTTGCTAGCCTCAATTTTCTTTGTGAATAAAAAAAATTCTGGTGGAAAAAAAATAAATGGTGTTTAATAAATGCTCAGGGAATTCTGGTACTGGAGGTAAACATTCTTTAGTTCTAAACAACTACAGGTTGCCTTTTGATGAATGAACTTCCAGTTTAGTTTTTTCTGCTATTTATTAAATTCCGTGAATCACTGCTAATCATTTCTATATTTTTTTGCTATGCAAACTTGAAATTTGATATTTTTCCTCCTGAAAATTTGGAAAATGACAAGAAAGTGTGGTGTTTTACTTCCAAGATAGAAGATGAGATTATCTTCTAAGATAAAGATTGAGTTCTAAAAAAGTATACATTTGCAATCATTATATATGACAGATGGCAGCAAATTCATATTTCAGAAACAGTATAAAATGAAGATCTCATATTTATTTGCATTCCCATTATGTTTCTCACTCACCTTTAAGAGACTTCACACCTTCTAGCAATCTGTTCTTAAAGACCTTGTTATCATCTATAAAAAGGGGCACAATTAAGGTCATAGAGAAATGATGTAGCTTTTCACTAAAATTATTTCAGTAAAACCGAGATTTTCATGATTTACTCTAGAAATTTCCCCCATTAAAATAAATTTTGAGAGAAAATTAGGGAAAGTTTATAATACAGTAAATCTATCCAAAATTTAGCACACAAGGCACACTATAATATGCACAATGTTTTTGGTAATAGCACCTCTCACTTTTTATCCCCTCCCAGTTTAACACCCCTCCTTCCCTTGTTTACTTCCCACAACTGCCTGTAGCTATCTACAAGGTAAGGGTATCCTCAGAAATGTATTCCCCTCAATGGTATGAGTCAATATGATGGGGATGCTTATTCCAAAACGGAAAGTTAAACTGCATAGATGGAAATTTCCCTCAGGAATAAGTTTTTGAGATGGGCATTGTTTGTTTATTTATTTATTTTTGCGTCTTAACAGATGGGGATAGTTTGAGTTTTTGAAAAAATCTCAAAAGGAAACAAAACAGATGAACATAGGGGGAAAAAAAGAGAGCAAAACCAAGAAACAGACTTAAATATAGAGAACAAACTGATGGTCACCAGAGGGGAGGTAGGTGGCAGGATGGGTGAAATAGGTGATGGGGATGAAGGAGGGCACTTGTTATGACGAGCATAAGATGATGTATGGAAGTGTTGAATCACTGAATTCTACACCTGAAACTGTATGTTAACTAACTGGAATTTAAACAAAAATTTTTTTAAAAAGCTTAATAAAACCCTTTAAGGTCACATCAATATTTGAAATGCTTACCATTGAAAGGCAGATTTTTCATCAGCTTCAAACGTTCCTTATCTGTGAACTCTAATCCCATGTTTTTCAGAATAGTTTTCACGTCTTTGGCATCAACCTCTCCTCCTTAAAAAAGGCAGACATCATTACATATATGAATTTAAAGGATCACCTAATGATTCCAAATAGGGAAAAATCAATCTATGGCTATGTAGCTTGAATATGTACAGAATAAAGAACAAAGGCCAATGAGACCTCTCCATGTATACCGACTATGACATTCACAGGAAAAGAATTTGATCGCTAAATGCTAATAAAGGAAGTCACAATCATATTGACAATGGCAAGGCAACTCTGAACCCAGTGAAATTTACATCATGTATCTATCTATTCAATTAGAATATTATAAATTACTTATTCAAATAATTGTATCAAATAAGGTAAGATCTTATTTAGTCTCATTTTTGTAACTTTTCTGTAGTCTTTACTAAAATTTTACTTTATATATTATTTTACTAATATAGAATTTGGCTGTTCTAAAAGAAAGAAGAACAAAACATATAAATAAAAAATATACCAGAAAATAAATGAATTGCTAATAATTTAATGAATAAGGAAATAAATGTCATTAACTAAATGGCAATTGAGGGATAATGATAAAATATAGTTACTATAAATACTAAATGTCTTAGATTGATAATTTCTCACTTACCTGTAGTAGCTTTTACTCCATCCATCACCTCTTTCAGACCAGCCATCCCATTAGCTACAAGAAATGGCACAATGCAAATAAGCACAGAACACAAATCTAAGACATATATTTTGTGGAAACAATTACATGAAAAATTCCCTATATTTTCATTTTACCTGAGATCATTTATTAAATGTCTGGATCTCAGGGAGTTAAAATGATTCCATTAATACAAAGGTTTCTTATAGCTTAGAAACTTGGCCAGGAAAAGTGTGTTCTTCCTAGTGTTTTGGATGCCATTATAAGCCATAGTTGAAGATACTATTGGAGTTGGCCAGGTACTCTGGAAACTTTACTTCATGTACCAACAAACAGCTGAGGAAGGGACCATTAATCTAGCCTGGTATGTTCTAAGATTGCTTCCTACAGGAGATAATGCATGAACTACATTAATGTATCAGAGTGGTTGATCTGAAATATGGAAGAATGGAAAAGAATTCACATGGAGAAATTAAGAAAAGGGAAAAGTAGAGGGGCATCATGCTATGTGTGTATGAAACCACAAATAGTTCAACATGGCTTGAACAGAAGGAAAATGAGAGAAGATATATCCAGACAGGCAGATGGAGATTGAAAGTATTCTTATCATAGTTTATGCTATGATAAGAATCTTTGAATTCATTTTAGAGTGAAGATTTCAGTAGACAGAAGGATAGAAGAATGGGCCTGTTGACTTCCTGTTTTTCATATCCCTGTTATTTTGCTTTCTTATTATCTACACTTATTAGAATCCTGAGAGCACCCTCTGCAATTCTTGGTATACATAGGGAAAGGTGATGCTATTTTAGATTAATTATAATGAAGACCCAAGATTTATTCTGACTTTAAAATTAGGCTCTCCTCCAAGTATCCATTGATAAATGAATGGATAAAGAAGATGTGACACACACACACACACACACACACACACACACACACACACAGAGGACTATTTTTTAGCCATAAAAAAGAATGAAATCTTGCCATTTGCAACAAATGGATGGAGCTACAGAGTATAATGCTAAGTGAAATAAGTCACTCGGAGAAAGACAAATACCATACGATTTCACTTATCTGTGGAATTTAAGAAAAAAACAAACAAACAAAGAAGAAAAAAAAAGGAGGGAGAGAGACAAACCAGGAAACAGACTCTTAATTATAGAGAACAAACTGGTGGTTACCAGAGGGGAGGTGGGTGGGAGAATGGGTGAAATTTGTGATGGGGATTGAAGAGTACACTTATCATGACGAGCACTGAGTAATGTACAGAATTGTTGAATTACTATATTGTACACCTGAAATAATATAACATGTATGTTAACTATACTGGAATTGAAACTTAAAAAATTTAAATTAAAAAAACAAAATTGGGCTTCCTCCAAGCTTTCTAACATGTATCTGTCAAATAAATCTATTTTTAAACATATCAGTTATAAAGCAAAATAAAAGATGCCCTGAAGATAGCTGTAGTGCTCACCATCAATTTGTAGGTTTTCTGACAGCTTTGTAAGTTCCTCTTCTGTGAGCTCAATTCCCAGTTTTTTTAGAGTGTTTTCCAGGTCATTTGCACGAACCTTCCCCCCTTAGGAAAGAGATAATGTAGGACTATGAATATAATATGAAAAAAAGCATATTATACCAAAATTTTGCATGCGTATCAACATTCTATTTATTTATTTTTTTAAACTCTTTTTTTTAAGATTTTATTTATTTATTCATGACAGACAGAGAGAGAGAGAGAGAAGCAGAGGGAGAAGCAGGCTCCCAAGGAGCAGGGAGCCCAATGTGGGACTTGATCCCAGGACCCTAGGATCATGACCTGAGCCGAAGGCAGACGCTTAACCATCTGAGCCACCCAGGTGCCCAACATTCTATTTATTTAATATGTTTTTTTAAGGTGAGGTGAAGAATGTGGTAATCATTTTGCAATATTTAAGAGTACCAAATCATCACACTGTATACTTTAAACCTACATGTTATATGTCAATTATGTATCCTATGGCCAACTGACTGAGGAAGAAAAAAAAAAACTGAATCTGAGCCACTTTGGCTTCCTGTTGCTATGAGTCTACAAGTAAAGAAAGGGATGACTTTACTGGTTGGAGTGATTTATTCTGACCATCAGGGGAAACCGGGCTGCTGCTACTAGAAAGTGGGGATAGAGATAAATATGTCTAGAATCTAGGACACCTGCTGATATCCCCTTGCCTTGTGATTAAAGTTAATTGTAAATTAAACAATCCAATCCAATACAGACAGGTCTGATAATGGCCCTTATCCTTCAGGAACAAAATTTAGGATCACCTACCGGGTAAGGAGGTAGGAGCAGCTGAAGTGCTTGGTTAGAGAAAGAGCGGTATGAAATGGCAGTGGGAAAAGAAAGATAAATACTAGCTACAACAACATGACCAGTTGCTAACGAACTGCACAAGATTGTAACAGTTATGAGTATTTCTATATATATTTTTAAAAGATTTTATTGATTTATTTGACAGAGAGAGACACAGAGAGAGAGGGAACACAAGAAGGGGAGTGGGAGAGGGAGAAGCAGGCCTCCAGCTGAGCAGGGAGCCCGATGAGGGGCTCAAACCCAGGACCCCAGGACCATGACCTGAGCCGAAGGCAGATGCTTAATGACTGAGCCACCTAGGCGCCTCTATATTTTTTGATATAGATATATTTGTGAATATTTTAACCAATTCTTTTCTTTTAATCTCCTCCCCCATTTCCCTGCATCTACATAAAATTTGTGAACAGTAGTTAGCCTTATATATCCTTGTTTAAGTTATAGGATGTCAAGGAAGAATGTGAGTCAATTAGAAAATAAACATAATCTAGAGGTGGATAGAGGGATAGCTGGGATTTTGTAACATCTTCTGAGAAGAGAGTTAGCATAGTTTTGGTTATATGAGAAATTGTTATTATTATTAGAAATATAAGAGAGGCTAAAAGATGTATATATGGATGCCAAGGGGAAGATGATGGTAGACTGTTAACTGTGTCAAACTGGCTAAGCTGGAATTATATTTCTAGGACTTCCCTTCCCTATAGAGTTCTGGCTTGCCCCAGAAAATGTTGCATGAGATTTGGAAGGCACAAGTAAAGCAGCTGCTCCTACACTCTAAAGGTCAGTGTCAGGGGGGTCCCTGGGTGGCTTAGTCCGTTAAGCGTCTGACTTCTTGATTTTGGCTCAGGTCATGATCTCAGGGTTGTGAGATTGAGCCTAACATTCCCTGCCTCTCCCTCTGCTCCCCCACCTCCAACCCTGCTCTGGCTCACACACGCACTCTCTCTCTGTCTCAAAAAAAAAAAAAAAAAAAAATTACAAAAAAAAAAAAAAGGTCAGTGTTGGGTTCCAGGTGCCATTACAGCCCATGATATTGTTCTTAATCTTCTGGACTGCCTTGTTGGCATGGGGTGGAAGCTAGTCTTGGCTAAGCACATGTATATCTCCTTGGAGACAGATGCCAGTTTCTTTTTCAGGTCACTTACATTCTTAAGGGTGGGGGAAATAAGATTCCGGTTTGTCCTCATGGGTTCTCATTTTTTCTCGTTCTCCCCAACTCTGTCACCAGTTTTTCCTCCTGAGTGCTGGCCTTACTGACTACAGTGATGGCAGGATGTTAGGCCCACAACCAAAAGCGGGGGCAACAGCTTTCAGAGATTTCTTCACCAGCTCTCACAATTGCATAAAATCTAATCCTTACAATAAATCTTATTCCATGTCACTTATAGTGATTTTGCTTCCCTAATCAAGCCCTAATGGATATAATAGTCATAAATTCTATTAAACTAAAACAGAACAAAAAAGAAAAATGTATTTTGTGTCTTTGTATATTACCTTTCAACAAAGCCAAAATCCCAAATAGATTTGTCCAAGTATACAAAGTCAAGAAAATAGTTAAAATTAGAGCTTGTCTTAGTAACAAGCCTATATAACAAAACAAATTAAGCAGATTAAGCAATTGGAACTGCAGACAACCAATATAATACTTGTATGCAATAAATAGGGGCTATAAATATATTTTTTTGCCTGAGTTTCTATATTAGCTATTCATAGAGTTGACCAGATCCCTTGAATAAAGCTAACCCTTCACTTCACTTACACTGTGACTTCCTAGGTTTGATTGATTTTTGTGGGGTAGGGGTGTACAAAGTTGAAAAAAATGCAAGAGTATATGGAATTTCCTACAAGATAAAATATATGCTGTTATCAGTTAAAATGTGGATAGACTGAAAGAATCATAAATATGGAATGATATCAAAGTGAGGAGCCAGGATTCATAATTCAATGTTGTGAAGTTGGGGAATGTCAGACAATATGACTTTTAACTGGGTTTCTTACTTACCTTTGAGAGATTTCATAGCCTTCAGCAACCCATTTTGATATACCTTTCCAGCAGCTGTAAGAAAATCCATATTTCATTTAATGGTGAAACTAACATGGAATCACAAAAATGGCATGAATTAAATAATTTCAGAAATAACATTTTAAGAAGACTTGTCTCTAATTTTTAGTTTATTTCATCTTATATAGCAAAGTTTGAAATAGAAACTTCTCTCATGGTGACAAATATTCCTCTTCCTGAGGGAGTCTACTTGCTCAAACATGAGTATAGCTTCCCTTTTTTTCTTTCAATTTTTAAAATTTAAATTCAACGTAGTTAACATACAGTGTTATTAGTTTCAGGGGTAGAGTTTAGTGATTCATCAGTTGCATATAACTCCCAGTGCTCATTACATCATGTACCCTCCTTAATGCCCATCACCCAGTTACCCGATCCCCCCGACCCACTGCTCCTCCAGCAACCCTCAGTTTGTTTCTTATAGTTAAGAGTGTCTTATGGTTTGCCTTCCCCTGTTTTTATCTTATTTTTCCTTCCCTTCCCCTACGTCCATCTATTTTGTTTCTTAAATTCCACATATGAGTGAAATCATATAGAACTCCCCTTTCTTTTTATTTCTGCTTTCTATCTTTATTTTTTTCTTCATGGATCTCCAATCTCTCTCTCTCTCTTTTTTTCTCTTCTCATGATATAAACAAATTAGTGGCTTGACAGGTAACAACATGTTTAGTTGTTAATGTCAACTCTTGTCTGAAGGGTTACTTCCATTATAAATTCTAAGACATATAACTTAGAACTTAATTTAATATTTTTTCTTTTGCATTTTTGGAGGAAAATAAACAGAAACAAAGTTGGAGATATTTACACAGACTCACAAAAGACCATGGCACCTCTATGATAGCTCACCATCAACTGGCAGTGTTTTCAGCAGCTTCTCTTTTTCCTTATCTGTGAGCTTAATCCCCAGGCTTCCCAGGAAATTTTTCAAGTCACTAGAATCAATCTTCTCACCTTTCAAGAGAGGAGATGGTACATGTATGAGCTTTAGGTACTCTCATATTATCCCAAGTTATAAAATATGCTCTCTGCAGTTTAATGATATCCCAGTTTCAAGATGAAGAGTTAGGCAAAGATATTCTCAATTGTAGAACCATTGAGCATGACTTATGGTATTTATAAAATACCATGTTTAATATAAATTAAAAAGAGTTTTTCTAAAGTCAGGAAAGACAACTTCCAGAATAAAATCTGATGAGTGAATTAAGGTCATGCAGATTCTTATCTAAATTATTCTTCAAAAAAACTTGATTGTTTTGGTGAGAATTATTGATGATTTCAGTGAATACATTATCTCCATCACTTCTAAGGTTTACCATATACATTTCTAGGTGATGTTCAGTTAAACATTTGTGACATGAAGCATATTACTTACACAAGCAACAGAAAACTTAGGATTTAAAGTTGACATATAGTCTTGTATTCTATTGCAGAAGTCTTCCTAATGCCAATCCAAGGGGCCTTAGAAGCATGTATTTAATAATGAAACATCAGAATTTAATAAGATACTAGAAATGCCACTGGAAAAAAAAAACGAATATAAAAGACTGAAACCCTAGATTTACCTTAACTTCTCATTTACCTGTAAAATTACCTTTCACTTCATTCATTGGTCTTTTTAGTGAAATTCTCCTATCAACTGTAGGAGAAAATCAAACTCACACTGAGATTAAAAAAGACTCACAAAATACTGTGAAAGACAACATGGGAGTAAAGATAATAAATCCTCACTTACTTTGTGCCAGGCACTATCTTAAATGCCTTACATATGGTTACTTAATTAATACTTACTGAATAATATTTTTCTAGGCTATTGATTTATTCAGTTTTTATTGTCTTCCTTAATATTAGAAAGAAAAGCTTAAATATAAAAATATACCATTTCAATAATATAAATTTTACTTAAAGTTCTATAATATTTCAAACCCCTATGTGTTAGTAATGGGAAGAAATTCAGAAGTACCATCATTTAAGTTGCCTGCATTTTTCTATTCAAAATGTGAAAGAGTGTTTTCTAGTGACCATAATATGGGTAAAGAACATAAAAGACATACATACAAAGTGCAATGTTTTCATGTTGGTTTTGGTAACTGCGTGCTTTTATGCTGGTTACATGCTTTGCCCATATTTATAGCTTCTTGATTACTATCAGGGTAGATTACCTTTCCTAAGGCCCCTTTCCCTTGGACCACTGGCTATGGTTCTTATACTTAAGCTCTCCCAGCATGTAACAATGGTATCTGAAAACTTGCTCACCATCAGCAGGGAGATTTTTAGTCAGAACCTTAAGTTCCTTATCTGAGATCTTGATTCCCATATTATCCAGTATAGCATTCAAGTCGTTGACATTGACTTTCCCATCTAAGGAAAGAGACAGTCCATGAAGATAATTATATAACTCTAAAAAAGAGGTTCTTAAACCTTTTAGAGACACATATCCTGTTGTGAATTTCATGAACCAAATGTCTGTGTTCACAAAGATTGTGTATAATTTCAGGGGGGTTATGTATTCTTCAAAGCCTATTCACAGACACCCCCCCCCAAGTAGTAGGGTTAATAATGCTTGTTGTAAAGTGTGAAAAAAAACCCATCAATTTTAGAACAAGAGACTAAGGACCTTATGTCTATAGAGAAACTCAACTATGACATTAGAATTAAGGTCACTTCTCTTGAGACTTGTCTTGGGGACCAGACTATAAAACACAAAGTTTTAAACAGCACCTGAATAAATGCTAAGTGAATTCTAGTCCTGGAGGGAAACATGTTTTACTTCTGAACAATATTTTGTTATTTGTTCAGAAGTAAAGTAGAAACAATATTTAATTTGATGACCGAACTCCCAGTTTAGTATTTATCAGCAGCTGATTAAATTCCCTGAGTCAGTGCTAATCTTTTCTGTTACATTTTGCTATGCAGACTTGAAATCTGATATTTGTTTTCTTGAAAAGTTTGGGAAAATCTTGAGAAAGTGCAAGACTTTCTTCCTAGATATGAAGTAAAATGTTGGCAGCTAAAGTGAAGCTTGATCTTCAGTGGGAACATAAATTTACAATCAGTGTATATGAGAGATAGCAGCATACACTAATATCTTGGAAACAGCGTAAAAGCAAAGATGTCATATTTGTCTGCACTTTCATTAGGCTGCTCACATACCTTTTAGAGACTTCACAACTTCTAGCAACCTGTTTTGAAAGATCTTGTCATCATCTATAAGAAAAGGGAGAATTTAAGTCACAGAGAAATGTGGAAAATCACTAGGATACTCCTGGATAAACGGCTTTTCAAGAGTTTTCACTAGAAATGTTCTCTTATAATAAAATCTGAGAGAAAATTGGGTGAAATTTAGCACATCAAGCATTCTACAACACACACACCTCTTTTCTTCTCCCCATTTCTGCTTTATTCACTTCTAAATAATCCTTTTCCTCTTTCCACAAATCCCAGATTAAGCCTTTTTTTTTTCATGTTTGATAATAACACTCATCATTATGGAAATGCTGTTTCCCAATCTAAAAGTAAAACTGTAGATAGGGATTCATTTCAGGTATAAATGGACATTCTAAAAAAAATTTTTTTTGAGATGGACTTTCCATCCTGGAACTGAGGAAATGGAGATAATTTTAGAGATTCTCACAGACACAGAAATCTAAAGTCCCTTTTTGGTTACAACAGTATTTAAAACGTTTACCCTTAGAAAGAAGATGTTTCATCAGGTCCAAGCATTCTTTATCTTTGAGCTCTATCCCCATGTTTTCCAGAACAGTTTTCACATCATTGAGATCAGCCTTTTCTCCTTAATAAAAACATTAAAATGATGACATCCATGGAATTTAAGTACAATCAAATGATTGCTAATAATAAAACTAAATTATGATGCCCATACAAAATGAGTATGAGCTGGGGAAAGTGAGGGTCGCTGAGCTCTGACCAAATACACAGAGGTAATGTCAGTCACAGAAACATAATTGGTTTTCTAAAGGCTAATAAGAGAGGGTAATCTCACTGGTATCCATGATAATGTACCTACAGGATTTCCAACTATGGAGAACATAATTAACCAAGGGCCCCATCTTCTGCTTTGAAATTAATCTGTGTTTTTTTGTACTAAGTCCATACCTACCATTGGCACTGATCAAGGGCTGGGTGCAGCTCCTAAGGGAGTCCTCTTCCTGGGGGATATGGGATGATGACTTTAACCAGAGGATTTTTTTTTTTTACAGATTTTATTTATTTATTTGAGGGAGAGGGAGAGAGAGACAGAGCACGAGCAGGGTGGAGGAGCAGAGGGAGGGGGCGAAGCAGACACCCCGCTGAGCAGGGAGCCTGACGCAGGGCTGGATCCCAGGACCCTGAGATCATGACCTGAGCCGAAGGCAGATACTTAACTGACTGAGCCACCCAGGTGCCCCTGACCAGAGGATTCTTGAAAGCAGTATTGCCAGACCTTCCTCAGACTACATGGCAATCTAGGATGCTTCCACCCAAACTTTTCTTCCTCTTTCCTTCACTTGGTGTCATATTTGCATTGCAGTCTGACAGCCTCCCAGTGTTTTCACTTTCCCTCCTTATTTTCTACTGGGCAGGCATTTCCTGTAATAATGTCCTTCACATTTAATCCTCCTTCTTGGAAGGCTTGGACTAACATACTCAAAATGACAATGACAAGAAATGGGTATTATATATCTTTTTTGTTAATTAGTAAACTGCAAACAGTGTATCCTGATAATTCTACTGACATGAAGAACATATCATCTCTTCTTTAAGTGATTACCAGGGTCTTTTCCAAAGATCATTTCACCTTTTATTATAGATTTTGGCTGTCTTAAAATAAGGAAAATGAAGTGTATTAGTGGAAAACACATCAGAAAATATTCTGGGCTACTGGGTATGAAAACATTAAACAAATAGGAGGTAAAAATGATAGAATTAGCATAGCAATTAAGGCATGAAGAAAAATAGTTACTATAAAAATTAGGATCCTACGTTTACTTTAACTTTTCACTCACCTGTAACAGCTTTCACTCCATCCATCACTTTACTCAGATCAACTTTTCCACTAGCTATGAAAAGGGATAATTGAGACATGTAATCAATGTAATGAGCTCCAAAAACATATATAAAGGACTTATGTTGATGGAAAATTCCAGATAAGTTTCATTAATATCATAATTTTACCCAAACTTTCATTAAGTCCCTGAATTTCAGGGATTTAAGCTCATGTACAGGGATTTAAGCTGATCTACATATTTGCAAAAAGATGTCTTGGATATCGGAGTTTGCACAAAGAAAAAGGTACAATACCAAAGGATCATTGGTATTGGTTAGCTATCTGGTAATCCTTCAGGTGTTGCCATGAGCCATGAGTGCCACAGCTCATATAGGAACCACTAATGCAAACTAGGGTGTTAAATGATTGCATCCTGGAGTGTGTAGTGCATGAGCAAGTTAAAACATCAGACTTTAACTTAAAGGAAAGGGGAATGCATAGAAAGAGCCTTCTACATGGAAGAGAGTCTGAGAAATGTAAACAAAACAAAACAAAACACCAAAAACCTAGGCACAATATATACAATGTATAGATAAGCAACGTATGGAGAACCATAGTCAGTTCAGCATGAAGAATGAAGTACGGATTTGGAAGAGGAAAGTTCATATAAGAGAGGCAGGTTGGACTCAGATTATTGAGGGATTTGTAAGCTATTTTAAGAAGCTTAGCCTTTAACAGTCACCTTACAGGTAATACAATGGCACTAAATTCATACCTT